GCCAAGTTTGACAGCGCCAGTTCTGACACTTTCTGACACATGTCAATTTCTTATTTGTATTTTACGGAAAATATTATTATTTATAGCGTTGTAAGTGTTGTAAATGTATATTTAAGATTTATTATCTCTAATAATATGGTGAAAACATGCTTTATGTGTAAAAGGCCTGTTGAAAATGCTTCTTTAAGATAATATCATAAGTAAGTACAGACACAACCTAATTATCAGAGGCGGCGCATTAGGCAATCACCTTTAATTTACAATTAAACTTTCTTATTTTCTTATCGAAAAATTAAAATTAAGAGCAAGTAAACTCCAGCTAAGTTCGTCTTCATCTGTCTCATAATGATTATAGTAAAGGTTAATTACTTATTATTATTATTTTAATATCACATCTTTGTAAAGTTTATTGTTATTTTTTTTAGGTTTCCTTTTCTTGATATGAGAAAGAAATACATGGTTCCAAAATATAGGAATTCAACAAGTGACCACCTGAATAACTTTTTATGCTAATGAACATTTTTATTACATACCTCAGGGGAGGAAAATATTAAAGAAAAATGCAATTTCGACGAAAGAAGTATAATAATCAATGCTGTCACTACTTTTTCACACTTTTTTTTAACTAATCTAAAAGTTAAATTTTGTGTATTGTTTAAATTTTCATTTTTTGTACTTAATTTGTTTTAGATTTAAACAAAATGAACTTCTAAGATATGCATGGAATATCCCAAAAGAGCTAAGGAAGGATTTAAAATTCTTAAGAAAACTATTCAGAGCCAAAAATAAAATAGTCTTCCTGTCCAAAATATAAATAGGTATAAATATTTAGATATTATGAGTGATTTTTTATTCTATAAATAGAACATAATTTGCTTCTAAATCACTACCTAATGAACGATATTATATAGTACAAAACTAAACAAGAATATCACATTATTCATGTTATTTTTAATTTCCTTAAAAAACGTCCCAAAAAAATGCGAATATTTATTATTGGAGTTTAATTCGTTATGCTAAAACAATACTAGAACAACTTAAATAATGTGTATTTTGACTATTTTGAGTTATGTAGATCATTATGATCTAAAAAAATGTTTGTCTGGTGCTATAGTCAGGTATAAAAACATTCATTTATTTAAACACAGTTGCAATATACATTTTATTTAGTTTTTAAGTTAAAACCTATTAGGACATCCTAAAATGACTTTTTTCGTTTGATGTGAGATTAATAATTATTCTACATTTTTGTTGATGAAATAGGATATATTAAGATGTCTTACTGTTTTCTCTGATTATCTAAAAAGTTAGAACAATATACAAAGACTGTTATAATAAAAAAGAGATATACCTTTACTTAAACACATAATTAGTCAGTTCAATTGTACGATAATTTAAAGCGGAAATCCAGAAAACTTTAAAAATGTGTTTAAATGTGTTTTTACTATAACAAGGACATAATTATTAAAAAAACTTGGCACATTAACATTGACGATAGGTTTTTATAATATATATTATACAAATCACAACGAATTACACAAACTGACATTATTAATAATTTAGCAATAAAAAAGTTAAGTACAATGATGACATTAAAAGTTGATTTTCTCGAAATTATTATTTTTTAAATTGTCTCAGTACCTACCTACTATTTTTCTAGCAGTGATATTATATGAAAGTGCAATATCTTATATTTTAGGAATAAAATGATATATTTTTTGCAAGTTTCTGTTAATCAACGATTCCAAGAACTTTTGAAAATATTATTAAAACAGCCTTTGCAAATATAATTCTCAATTAAGAGCTTCTGATCTAACATTAAATTTTTATTCTCCAAAAGATTACAGCTACCTAAGACGAAAGTTTAACAAGACTCTTACCAGACCCAAAATATCAAAATGTTACCAACCAATTGATGGTTCTACTGGTTTCCATAGGAAAATTCTCCTCGAAAGAGTGGCAGAGGCAACCGAAGAAGGCAAAAAAGTATTTTGCAAAACAAAAACAAGAAATTTGTTTAAGAATCTAATTATTGTTTTACCATTAATAATTTTTGATAACGATTTAAGATTATGAAGTTCTATTATGTAGTTTACTCTTTGATAACCTATGTTTAAATTTTTATTAGGACCAAAATAAATTACAATTTTTATTTCAACTACAAAAACCCTCATAATATTAAAAAGGGGAAAACGTTAGATTAGTTATGTTCAGGAATAAAATCTTTAAACATGTACCTATCTACTTAAAATGTGTTACTTTTAGAAGGTATGTTATTAACTTTCTATTTGTACTTGTATTAATTTATTTCATTTTATTCTGTTGTATTTTCAAATTGATTTTGATATTAATCTTATCTATTTATATATTTTTTATGTTCACATATGTTTTTTCATTGAAACAAATGTTTATTAGCTTATTAAATATAATGAATTCATGTTGTTTTATTATATGCTTGTATGAATGATTACTTTTATTTCCTTTTAAAAATGAATTTCGAAGATAAAGCCGAAACGGTGAGTGAGAATAAAAAAATTAGACGAAAGAGACGATATTTACTGGAGCTTTCATCTACACGCTCATTTTTCTAGCATCTACACCTGAGCCAGCAAGATTCGTCTTCCCTCCATCCTTACATTCTCCAGATTTACAGAGAAAACGCCGTCCTCTTTAACATATCCAGACCTTCTTTGACGGGGATTATGGGGGTTATGATTGACCACCTGTGTTATTTTTAACAGGTCTGTTATTTTATGAACACAGAAATAACAACCTGTTTACAAATAACGTGTCTGTTAAAAATAACATTACTTATCCATCATAACCCCTTATACCACTACATTATCAGCTTTATTTGTTATCCCGAGCAATTTAAATGCATTCGTAATTGCTCATTCTCACCTCTTCTCTTGTAGATTCCTTACTCAGTTTTCTTATTGTTAGTTACGTTTGCACTGCTCTTTTATTTTTACAGCTTTAATTCTATAATGCTGTAACGCTACAATATGGATCCATTTTTGTAGTTTATACTATTTAATGTTATTCGTAAGTGACCAACCTATTATAATAATTAAAGATTATTGTATTACAGGCCTGAAGATGTTCCTGTAAGGCCGAAACTAGTCGCTCCTGTATTTATTTATAATAAAATTGATTTTAAGGTTTTATTCTTCAATTATAATAATGTTTATTCAATTTAAAGAAATGTATGAATGTTTATTTATTATTTTTTAAACTTCTGTATCTACTAAAATGTATTTTTTTTCTTTAAATTGAATAAACATTATTATTATTCTTCAATTGAAAAAATTAGACCTTTACAGTGATTTTGTTTCATTTCCTGCATTAGACACATATAAGACGGTATTCATTTTAAACATAGTAAAATAAGAAAAAAAAAATTTTACAATTAAAACATTTGGACAATGTGTGTTTTTATAGATAAATGATACGCCACTGAACAAGAAGGATGTTTACCTTCCCCCTTGTGCCCGCTTCCTCACTTCCTCTACAGATGTTGCTAACACAACAATCGCCTACAAACTCGTTTTCACGCTCCCTCTAGTAATTGCTCGGAGGTTAATATTATTTCTTACCGAAGAACATGGGCGTCGTTTTAGGAGAAACAAGGAAAATAAAATATGCATATTAAAAAAATAAAATTATTATTAGTGTTCTAAAATACGAATTAGAAGAAACTTATGGTTAGGGCACTTGAATGAACTGAAATGTCGAGCACTTTTAAAAATTGTATCTTTACTTTTTAGGAACTTTGTATTACACAAACGGAGCAGGAAAAAAAGAGTAGTGGTGAACCTATGTCACCTAAAAAAATAGAAGGTATTGTGTTTAATAAATTTGGCGAACCAATAATATGTTTGAATGTTTTTAGTATAGTAATTTCTTCAGATACTAAATTATTTGATTATGGGCCTTCTTTAAGAGTATTAAACTTGCCAACAAATAAAAGAAGTTGTAGTTTGAACAAAAGTACCTCACACGCTTCAATATTAAAGTCAAGGTATGACTCTAAAACTCTCATCAACAAAATTTGAGTCACCATTAATTAAGAAGTAAATCAAACATTGGATTTGATCTAAGGTGATACACTAAATTGTATATGAATATTTATTTCAGAAAACCTGCATATTTTGGTAACTTTACATTGAAGTTTCTGGAAAATCGGTCATTACGAAGACTTTTTTGTTGCCAACAGTACTGCTTCAAACTTACGAAACAAAAATAAAACATTACAGACACAATTAAAATGAGTGAAAAAATATGTGCAATATCAAAAAATTTGTACAGAATTGCCGATTTGAAAAGAAAATATATATGTTATTTGTTTTTGGACGCATACTGTACATGGCCTAAAATATAAACTATCAACAGAAATATAAGAATATTTAGTTACCTAATTTAAATAATGAAACTAGATAATTTATATTTTAAAGGAAGTCATTAGAAAAGCAAATAAATTCTTATATATTTTTTTAATATCCTGAAATACTTCTACTTATGCTAAATGGTAAATACATATTGGTTTGTTATATTTTTATTAGGTATATTTTCTCATGTGAAAGAAGAAATTTTAGTCAAATCGATTTATGAAACAACTTCATTAGAATTTAAAACGGAACAATCCCAAATTGTTCTAAAGACTATAGTACTTATTTCATCCTTTTACTTTAAAACGGAGTTAAAATAAAAAAATGTGCACGACTATGGTAGAACGCATTATTTGTTTGATCTCAAATACAAGGTTTTATATAATATGAACTCATTTGCAAGTATTACACAAAACTTAAATATTATGTCAATATATTACTTGTTTTAGTGAGTTTAAATTAATTAGTTTTTAATAAGCCTGTTTAAGAAAACTGGAAGTAATTATTTAATAGAATTGCATCAAGGTTATTTATATATTAGTTCTTTATAATTCTATAATAGTCTGGGTACCCTCACTATTTCTTATTTCTTGCATTTTTGTGTTGAGTGTAATGGCTAACGGTGTTCAAGAATATTTGGATTTTGTACTGCCTCTAGTCAAAGATGCGGGAAAAGTAAGTAGTATTATCATTAAGTAAAGGAGTATAATATTATATATAAATAATATAATAATATTCCTTTACTCAATGATATTAGATTATATTAAAATTTTAAAAACACTATTTCAATTATATCAAAACTATATAGGAACTAGTAAGTGCCAAAGATTATGAAGTTGAATTTAAAGGAGAGGATTTTGATGTAGTTACAATATACGACAGAAAAATTGAAGATATTTTAATAAAGAAACTTAAAGAAAGATGGCCTGATCACAAGTAAGAATTTATTTTTTTTTATTTTTCATTAACCATTTTGTAAAATTGCTTTGAATTAAAAATAAGAATAAAGTGTATGACTGTCACGGTCAACAGTAAAACACTTTCATTTTACCAATATTTCTCAATGCCAGTATAACAAAAAAGTAGGACAAATAAGCACTTATGGTTTTTGTGGATGAAGATAAGTTAACAGAAGTACCCGCACCAAATACATTGATTTGGGGTATCTGTCGATTTTCTTTAAAATTTTGTATATTAATATAGAGGTCAAAAGAACTAACTTTTTTGTGGATAACAACTTTCCATCCATAATCTATATATACAGAGTGAGTCACTAGATACCAATCAAGTTAATCAAATAATAGAAATAAATCTACATTATTTATTTTGCCTACTACAAATACGGCATTAGGGACAAAAATAACTTACTTCCTTCATCTTCTTCAGTGCATATTCTAAACTTTTATTGAACTATATTATTTATAAGAAACGGGTACTATTTTACCTGCAGATTATATAATTGAAAATATAAATATTTTGCTTAATAATTGGGGGGCAAATATTAATACGAAGGCTGTTCTCTTTCCGTTGAGCCTGGTAAAGTAAAACAAAGTTTATTCACAAAACACATTTATTTATAATTTTTCTCCACAGTCAATGAACTATTGGATACGCCAAAAATATTCTTGAAAATATTTTTTCTGAACATCTGAACGTAGTTTTTCATTTCATTTTTACTTTCCTATCTGTATACAGATATAAGAAAAGTATAGGAATCATGATTTTTTTCGACCTCGAGTTTTCGACGGATTTTTACGTTTTGAAGTCCCCTGAATCCGTTTTGACTATTTTCGCGATGATGTCTGTGTGTGTGTCTGTATGTCGCATAACTCATGAACCGATACATAGAAAAACACCAAATTTTAAACTTAAGCTTTATTCCAGCGTCTAATGAACTGATTAGATTTTGGACAAAGTCGGAACATCTGGAGGTTACTTTATGGTAGGTTGTTTTTATATTTTATGGAATATATCTGTTATTTATGTTTGGAGAAGAAAATTGTTCAAATAAAAGTTACTTCTATAATTTTTGTTTTATGTCAAAATTTCCTGAAATGGTCCGTATTCGAGAAATTTGACAAAATGTGCAAAATTGTAATTTTTATAAAAATTGTTGAACTAAAAGTTGTTTGCGATATCGATCTCTATAATTTTTGTTTATACATGATTTTTCTAAAATGGACCGTAATGGAAAAGTGCTAAATTTAAATTTTTCAGTATTTTCGTTTTCAATGAATATCTATAGAAAAATGTTTCAAGGTAGATGTATGTGGACAATGTATATATTTAGTTTATCCTCTAAACATTTATAGAGATGATGCAATAGGTTGTACAAAATAACCGGAAAAAGCCTATAATAAATAGATAGGAAAGTCATGTGTTGGACACATCAGATTTTTAAAGGAGTCTTTGGCTGACAGAAAACATAAACCCCGTAATTTATCATTTACCCGCGAAAATAAGAAGCCATTAAGTGCTAGGTCTGGACCATACGGCGAATGACCCCTTATTTCTATGATTTGGGCATTCAAATGTAGCAGAGCGAGCCCGAGCGTCCTTCCTCTTGGATTTTTTTTAGCAAACTGTAGTAAACAATTATTCTGAATTAACAGTACGTCTATCATCCAGTGCTACAGTGGAAACTTGCCCAGTAATTCCAGAAAAAAAGTGGCGACCATCTTTTTGTTTTGGTTTTTTTCACGAACAACTTTTGCTAGAGCCGACCAAAAAAAAGAACAAATAAAAGAACAACAAATAAAAGAAAAAGAAAAAGAAAAAGAAAAAGAAAAAGAAAAAGAAAAAGAAAAAGAAAAAGAAAAAGAAAAAGAAAAAGAAAAAGAAAAAGAAAAAGAAAAAGAAAAAGAAAAAGAAAAAGAAAAAGAAAAAGAAAAAGAAAAAGAAAAAGAAAAAGAAAAAGAAAAAGAAAAAGAAAAAGAAAAAGAAAAAGAAAAAGAAAAAGAAAAAGAAAAAGAAAAAGAAAAAGAAAAAGAAAAAGAAAAAGAAAAAGAAAAAGAAAAAGAAAAAGAAAAAGAAAAAGAAAAAGAAAAAGAAAAAGAAAAAGAAAAAGAAAAAGAAAAAGAAAAAGAAAAAGAAAAAGAAAAAGAAAAAGAAAAAGAAAAAGAAAAAGAAAAAGAAAAAGAAAAAGAAAAAGAAAAAGAAAAAGAAAAAGAAAAAGAAAAAGAAAAAGAAAAAGAAAAAGAAAAAGAAAAAGAAAAAGAAAAAGAAAAAGAAAAAGAAAAAGAAAAAGAAAAAGAAAAAGAAAAAGAAAAAGAAAAAGAAAAAGAAAAAGAAAAAGAAAAAGAAAAAGAAAAAGAAAAAGAAAAAGAAAAAGAAAAAGAAAAAGAAAAAGAAAAAGAAAAAGAAAAAGAAAAAGAAAAAGAAAAAGAAAAAGAAAAAGAAAAAGAAAAAGAAAAAGAAAAAGAAAAAGAAAAAGAAAAAGAAAAAGAAAAAGAAAAAGAAAAAGAAAAAGAAAAAGAAAAAGAAAAAGAAAAAGAAAAAGAAAAAGAAAAAGAAAAAGAAAAAGAAAAAGAAAAAGAAAAAGAAAAAGAAAAAGAAAAAGAAAAAGAAAAAGAAAAAGAAAAAGAAAAAGAAAAAGAAAAAGAAAAAGAAAAAGAAAAAGAAAAAGAAAAAGAAAAAGAAAAAGAAAAAGAAAAAGAAAAAGAAAAAGAAAAAGAAAAAGAAAAAGAAAAAGAAAAAGAAAAAGAAAAAGAAAAAGAAAAAGAAAAAGAAAAAGAAAAAGAAAAAGAAAAAGAAAAAGAAAAAGAAAAAGAAAAAGAAAAAGAAAAAGAAAAAGAAAAAGAAAAAGAAAAAGAAAAAGAAAAAGAAAAAGAAAAGAACAAAAAAAGAACAAAAAAAAATAAGAACAAGAACAAGAAGAAGAAGAATTAAAAAAGAGGGAAAATTTTATTTAAATTGAAGATAAGTGTGAGTGGAATGGAATAGCAGAAGAGTTCAGCAGAATAAGCTGGAGTAAGAGGAGAAAGTAGAGGAAAACAGCAAGAGGAGACTCATCAGGCAAACAAGAGGTACAGAAAGTCAGGAGTTAGAGCAGAGAGCAGAACAACCGGTAGCAAAAAAAGAAGCAAAGCGAAAGTTTTAGAATTTTTTTTTTAAATTCAAAATGTATTCTATTAATCGAAAATAATCGATTATTCGAAAATAATCGATTAATCAAAAATAATCGATTAATCGAAAATAATCGATTAATCGATTAATCGAAAATAATCGATTAATCGAAAATAATCGATGATTTGATTATTTTGCCCACCCTTAACTTATTTTAATTATATTCCTAATTTGTAAGTGCCCCTTATAATTTATTTTGCAATGTACGGCAACTAAGTACGGAGTGGCCCAAAAGTCTGGAAACGGCCAATTATCTCGTAAATTGCTAATCCTAATTGTACAAAATTTGGGGTACACCTATTTTGGGATACGGAGATTACAGATTTGATATTTGCAATGTTACCAGATTTGCCGTTTCTCTTATATTATTAGTCACTTTGGTTTTTCAAATTCATCACCCTGTATATTCAATAATTATTAGAATCTCCTATTCAATACGAGGTCAACCATATGTAACACTTATGATTTTATGTAGTCTAGAAGGTCTTAAATAAATAAAACAATCATGGAGAAATGTGGTAGACGCATTCTTCCATCGATTAGGGTAATGTCAACCCACAAATTTAAAAAAATACGCTCGGACCCATCAATTTTTGATTTTAGGGGTAAATATTTTTTTACCAGTTTCACTCCTTGAATGGAAACACTTTAGCGGGGGTGAAACTTCCTCCTAAAATCTTATTTTGAAGGTATTTTTACCTAGATTATAACCCCCGAGTTTTAAAACGTTAGTGTCATCAATTATCCGTTGTCGCAGATTTTTCAGTGATGTTGTCTGGGTGACATAAATTTTAAGTTTTAAGTGGCCCCATAAAATATCTAACGGGGTTAGATCCGGAGATCGTGGGGGCCACTCAATACTTCCTCTTCTTCCGATCCATTGACCTGAAAACGTTCGATCCAAATACTGATGAACAGTCAGTGCAAAATGGGGTGGCGCACCATCTTGCTGGAACATTAAGTTGTTTTCTATATACTGATAGTCATTCTTAATCAACACTAATAATGCTGGATAAATGTCGTTTTCTAATAATTTCACATTCATTTTTGCGGTTAGAGTTCCAGGTAAAAAAAGGGGCCAATTATACGGTTGCAAAAATTCCAGTTCAAATATTCAGTTTTTCCGAATGTTGCGTATGCAGTTCATGAAATATTCTGGGATTTGAATCGGATCAATAACGACAGTTGTGACGATTTACCGTACTATTTAGAAAAAAAGTGTATTTGTTAGAAAAACACACGTTGAAAAGAAATTGCTGATCATTTATTGCTTGTTCAGTCATAATTTCACAAAATTGTAATCGCCTATGAAAATCGTCTTAGTTAGGTTCTTGTACCAGATGTATTTTTTTGGGATGATACTTGTGTTCTTTTAATATCTTCTGAATGCCACTTCTCTTAATACCGGATGTTATCGCCAACTGTCTTGTGCTCAATGTGGGTTCTTGAACAACATGCCCCAAAATCGCCACCTCTGTACCATTTACTACAGCATTTTCCGTTTCACATTATATGTTAGTTACTGGCCTTGTTTCCCAAAATATACTTGCGATAGACTTGTCGATTTTGATTGTTAAACAGTTGGGCAATTCTATTAGCACATCCATTGTTCGCAAAAAAAAGTAAAATTATTTGCACCCTCTCAGCAATTGAGTAAATCATTATCACTGATATGCCATTTTTATGCCGACTCTATTACGAAATAAACTACACCTTACTACTTTACAGCGACCAAAGAATGTTATCTGATAACAATAAAACTAGAATTGTTACAAAAAATTTCTTTTTTTTTAATAACTTTTGGTTAGCCACTGTATGGGCTACGTAGATAGTAGCGATGTAAAACACTGGGGTTATAATCTAGGTAAAAATGCCTTTACAATAAGATATTATTCGACCCCTCTTTGCATTTAAAATTTTAGGGTTAAGTCTCATCCCCGCTAGAGGGTTTCCGTTCAGGGGGTAAAACTGACAAAAAATGTTACTCGTGAGTACTACTAGAGAGCTTTTTCTGACTCTAAATGAACGTTTCTTTTTAACGGTGCTTGATCTGGAGCAACTTTCAAATGTTCTCCCTTATCCCCTCGAGCATTTGCTCGATAGCATATGTATAGAGCTCTTGTTTTGTTAATTGTAGACCGTTATTAGTTGTTCTTTTTTGAGGTCATAGGGTTTTATACAACAAGAATAATAAACTTTTAAGTCCAAGTTCAACACGTTGGCAATGACAACTGACGGCGACTTTTTTGTCACAAAAAATACAGCTCCGAACAATAATTATTTCAGAAATTGTTTTTAAAAATGGGTTTAGAGTAAAGTAAAGAATGGTGGAAAGTCTATAGTTTGTTTTACTTTTAATGCATAATATTTTAATAAGTGATATTTAACAAATATTAAAAAGTTATGAAATTTCCACCATTTTTTGTAGTATTTAAAATCTAAAACGCGAAATACACTCTTTTATTTGTGTCCTAATTATTTAAGGAAACTTTTGTTAAGATTTAAAAATGTACTGTCGATAAGGTGGGGCCAATTTGCTACCGTGCTAATTCGAAATATACGTTTTATTAAACATCGTGTTAAGTATTTGTTAAAAATTAAGAGATAAAAATTTAAAGTGACGTCTTGTATTACTTCGAACGAAAAATCGTCTTCTAATATAACGTGCAACGTGCAACGTCTCAGCACACAACTCTGATAGCCAATGAAAAACTGATGCCGCATTGAAGCATCCTGTCGCTCTACGAACTTGGGCCCCGACAGCTTCTACAGCTTTGTCCCAACATCTCACAAAACCGTAATATTACGGTCATCGTCATGCGTAGTAAATAAAAACCTATCAATAAAGCCCAAAGTCGAACGGTTTTTATTTACTGCGCATGACGATGACCGTAATAATACGGTTTTGTGAGATGTTGGGACAAAGCTAATATTTCACTTATTGGCACTTTTTGTCCACGTTGAGCTATGAGTGCTCCGCACCCAGTTTAAAACTGCTCTGGGTGCTTGCGCACGCACGCACGCACGCACGCACGCACGCACGCACGCACGCACGCACGCACTCACGCCTCACGCACGCACGCACCCACGCACGCAGTCATCATCGCGAAAATAATCAAAACGGATTCAGGGTACCTCAAAACGTAAAAATCCGTCGAAAACTCGAGGTCGAAAAAAATCATGATTTCTATACTTTCCTTTTATATCTGTATACAGATAGAAAAGTAAAAATGACATCCTTAAATTTTAACGTATTCTGATAAGCCCCAAAAGCAATTAAATAAGTTATTTACTCGATTTTTACATTTATTTGTAGATTTATAGGAGAAGAAGAGTCTTATATAAATGGTGTGTCCGAATTAACAAACAGTCCTACTTGGATAATCGATCCTATAGATGGAACCGCAAATTTTGTAAGAGGTTTGAAAGATTCATGTATATCTATAGGTTTGGTGATAAATAAAGAACAAACGTTGGGTGTCGTTTATAATCCATTTATGAACGAATTGTATACCGCCATTCAAGGACAAGGAGCTTTTCTAAATGGAAATCGAATAGTCACCAACGGAGCAACAGGTTGCATACATTTTTGTAGCGTTCATTTTTTATAAGTTTTTTTTTAGATATCAAAAAATCAGTTCTTAACTATGAAATCTCGCTAGCGGTCAGTTCCAAATATTACGAGTTGTATATGTACAGGTTAAAACATTTACTTAAACATATAGGAGGGTAAGTATACTATATTGAACAGCTTCAATTCACAAAGCATCTTTAAATATTTACGTACTCACCTTAATAATAATGCTTAAAAACACAAGGTTCATAGCAAGGGTACTGTTGGAAATGCGTCCAACATGTTTCAATTAACACATCAGGAGAGCCCACTTTTGAGTACCAAACCGATTAATTAATTAAGAAGTAAAATACAAAAAATATGGCAATGGTCCTGTCTCGACGAGAACTTGAAAATACATCACATTCATGTAATTGAGTGTACTACTTTGCTACTAGTTCGTTTTTATGTAATTTGAGATTGTTGTGATTTAAAGTGCTCCGCAATTCTATAGAATCAATGTTGTTTAAATTTCAGAACACACTCTTAAATACAAATATAATTTTTTGCGGACCATCCCTGTTCAATTAATTTGTGTTAAACCCACACATTTAAAAATGCATATTATTTAGTTTCTAAATCACTCATCTCGCTCTACCCACACATTAATAAAGAACATTTTCATATTTTCACTAAGGAATTTATTAACTACATTATAAAAAACGTATAAAATTGTTTACTTTTATAGATATATAAGCCGTTCATATTCGTTAAAATCGTAAATTTTTAAACTTTAAAAATAAAATATTAACTTTATTTATATTTAAAGCAAAAAATATTAATAAAAAAAATGTCCCATTTAAAAATAACATTTTTTAGGAATTGTTTAAACAAATTGGGACCACATTGCTCAATGGCAAACTGCATTTATATAATATTTGGTATACTTTTAAAGGTTTTTGTCAAAAAAATTGCGTCCTAATAGTTTTCGACACTCATGCGCCGACTCCACCTAGACCAGTGGTCAACAAAGCCAAATAGCAACAGTAAAACGACTGATTTTTTTTTTTTTTTGAGAGCCAAGTTGTTTTATCTCCTATCGCTCATCCTCTTTATACAGATTAGGAAAAATTATACGAGCCACAGGTTCTAGGCACTGCGAGTGAACATCCATCTCTATATTCTGTGTACAACCACTACATCTCTTTTGTGACCTGCGAGCGTGCGAAATCATAGAAAGTTCTAATTAACTAATGCATGAACTATTGTGGGGGTATAGTTCTGTTTTATTAAATAAATAATTTTCTGATTCTAGAATCAGGACTTATTTGCTCCGTGCGCGACAGCAGCGCCAATTCGTTTTGATACTAATGGACTATTTCTGCGTACACTGACAAATACAACTTTTAATAGAATTCGTAATTAAAAAGTATATATGGTAGTTTTAATAAAAGTATATGGATTTGTAAAACAAGTAAAACATTAATTTATTATTATTATATATTTTTATCGCTTAAATTAAAGAAAATTATGTATAATCGATAAAAATGAATAATAAAATATAGGCAGGCAACAGTATTTACTGGAAATTATATGAGAAGTTGCCTAAGTCTAATAAGTTTTCATTGAAGAATTACTCTAATCTGTCAAAATAAAAAAATACCATTTAATAATAGCGTGAAGTTAAAATGTATAAAAGAAGGATCATTACTTATATTTTCATTTTTTGTTCGAAAGAAAACATAGAATGAATGATTAAAACTGATTTCCCATCAGTAAGTTACAAAATTGCGTTCCAACCACATATAATAATCAAAGGCAGAAATCTTGAAATCTAGTCCTTGCTGAATGAACATTTAAGAATAAGGGATATTAAAGAACATGGTAAAATGACAATTTATTGTTGATTTAAAACCTTTCAAGTTTCTGATGTCTACTATTTGCAGCATTACGGTTATTATTACAAAAATAAAGGTAATTTTTCTTCTTATTGTATATCTATCCATTTATTTATTTGATTTAATTTCCACTTTGCTACTGAAATTTTTTTATAGTTTCACTGTTTTTTTTTTGCTAGTATTTGTTCAATTTTCAACACAGCAACTCCGGTTGCTTATTGTGTTGTTTTTACCTACTTTTTTGAAAAAAAGTAAAATGTATACGTGTATTTGATATGCCAAAATTACAAAATATCACCCTAAAATGCACGAATTATCCGCAGCTAGCGCTAGTACCGCTTTTGCTTCCCTTTCCATGACTTCGCACGGAGCGAATATGCAAGTGAAAAATAATAACTTGATTTTGAATTAAATCCTAATATTTTTGCCTGTTAAGTTTACCATCAATAAAAAAGGGCTAATAATGTGGTCCCTTACGCATTTTCACGGGACTGGTGTCAGGACATTGTCGTCTGGGTAATCACATGAGAAGGATAGTGCTGCAACAAACGTCGGACTGTCAATTCTGTAGCGTGGCAAACGAATCTGCATAGCACATTTTATGTACCTGGGGCCTCCGAGCAATTACTACTAGAGGGAGTCTTCCCCCCTTCCCCGCACTAAATTTTGTTAGCAACATCTACTCCCCCCGAGGGGGAAAATACCTCTTCTGTAATTGGCTTATTTAATCAGCGTTGCCAAGTTTGACAGCGCCAGAAGTTTTCTGTGAGCGCCAGTTCTGACACTTTCTGACACATGTCAATTTCTTATTTGTATTTTACGGAAAATATTATTATTTATAACGTTGTAAAGGTTGTAAATGTATATTTAAGATTTATTATCTCTAATAATATGGTGAAAACATGCTTTATGTGTAAAAGGCCTGTTGAAAATGCTTCTTCAAGATAATATCATAAGTAAGTACAGACACAATCTAATTATCAGAGGCGGTGCATTAGGCAATCACCTTTAATTTGCAATTAAACTTCTTTATTTTCTTATCGAAAAATTAAAATTAAGAGCAAGTACACTCCAGCTACGTTCGTCTTCATCCGTCTCATAATGATTCTAGTAAAGGTTAATTACTTATTATTATTTTAATATCACATCTTTGTAAAGTTTATTGTTATTTTTTTAGGTTTCCTTTTCTTGATATGAGAAAGAAATACATGGTTCCAAAATATAGGAATTCAACAAGTGACCACCTGAATAACTTTTTATGCTAATGCATTTTTATTACAGATCTCATTGAAGGAAAATATTAAAGAAAAATGCAATTTCGACAAAAGAAGTATAATAATCAATCCTGTCACTACTTCTACACTATATTCATCTGCTACTAAAATACTAAAACAGCAAGTAAGTAGAGAAACTTAAGTTTCTTTCAAAAAGAATGTTTAAGGAAAAAGGCATAGCTATTTTTTTGTTGACACTTTTTTTTAACTAATCTAAAAGACTAATTTTGTGTATTGTTTAAATGTTCATTTTTTGTACTTAATTTGTTTTAGGTTTAAACTAAATGAACTTCTAAGATATGCATGGAATATCCCAAAAGAGCTAAGGAAGGTTTTAAAATTCTTAAGAAAGTATTCAGAGCCAAAAACATAAAATAGTCTTCCTGTCCAAAATATAAATAGGTATAAATATTTAGATATTGGGGTCTATTCTGTAACAATTCCTTTATATTTAACGGCCTTTAAAAATATTGGCGGCCTTTAAAAGTATATTTGTATTCGTTAATTTACTTCTGTCATTATTTAAACAGATTTCTTTAAGATAATCCTCTAATGTATGTTAAAGATCCGTTTAAATAATGACAGAAGTAAAGAAGAATATATTTTTAAAGGCCGTTAAATATAAAGGAATTTTTACAGAATAGACCCCATTATGAGTGATTTTTTATTCTATAAATAGAACATAATTTGCTTCTAAATCACTACCTAATTAACTATATTATATAGTACAAAACTAAACAAGAATATCACATTATTCATGTTTTTTTTAATTTCCTTAAAAAACGTCCCAAAAAAATGTGAACATTTATTATTGGAGTTAACATCGTTATGCTAAAACAATACTAGAACAACTTAAATAATGTGGATTTTGACTATTTTGAGTTATGCAGATCATTATGATCTAAAATAATGTTTGTCTGGTGCTATAGTCAGGTATAAAAACATTCATTTATTTAAACACAGTTGCAATATACATTTTATTTAGTTTTAAGTTAAAACCTATTAGGACATCCTAAAATTACTTTTTTCGTTTGATGTGAGATTAATTATTCTACATTTTTGTTGGTAAATAGGATATATTAAGATGTCTCACTGTTTTCTCTGATTATCTAAAAAGTTAGAACAATATACAAAGACTGTTATAACAAAAAAGAGATATACCTTTACTGAAACACACAATTAGTCAGTTCAATTGTACGATAATTTAAAGCAGAAATCCAGAAAACTTTAAAAATGTGTTTAAATGTGTTTTTACTATAACAAGGACATAATTATTAAAAAAACTTGGCACATTAACATTGACGATGGGTTTTAATAATATATATTATACAAATCACAACGAGCTACACAAAATGACATTATTAATAATTTAGTAATAAAAAAGTTAAGTACAATGATGACATTAAAAGTTGAGTTTCTCGAAATACTTTTTTTAAATTATCTCAGTAACTACCTAGTATTTTTCTAGCACAATGATATTATATGAATGTGCATTGTGTGATATCTTATATTTTAGGAATACAATTATATATTTTTTTGCAGGTTTCTGTTAACAACGATTCCAAGAACTTTTGAAAATATTAAAACGGCATTTGCAAATATAATTCTCAATTAAAAGCTTTTGATCTAACATTAAATTTTTTTTATGAATGATTACTTTTATTTCCTTTTAAAAATGAATTTCGAAGATAAAGCCGAAACGGTGAGTGAGAATAAAAATTAGACGAAAGTGACGATATTTACTGGAGTTTTCATCTACACGCTCCTTTTTCTAGCCATCTACACCTGAGCCAGCAAGATTCGTCTTCCCTCCATCCTTAAATTCTCCAGATTTACAGAGAAAACGCCGTCCTCTTTAACATATCCAGACCTTCTTTGATGGGGACTATACCACTACATTATCAGCTTTATTTGTTATCCCGAGCAATTTAAATGCATTCGTAATTGCTCATTCTCACCTCTTCTCTTGTAGATTCCGTACTCAGTTTTCTTATTGTTAGTTAC